TTGTCTCAGGAAAGTTTAATTTAAAAGGCATATTTTGTCTTCAGCAGTGATCAAAAACTGGAAAATATCTTTAGGACAGTGAAGGTGACCCCATAGCAAACAGAAGATGCAGAATTTTTATTCATCATGTACTTACTCTTAATTGTGATGGAGGAGAAATAGTGCACTATAACTGTGACTCCTACTGCAGTGGCTCAAATCATGATTGTAATGCCTGTTTGTTGTACTAAATCCATGCATTTAATTTGCTTTAGGTTATTTATGCTAACTTGTGCATTTTGTTTGCATGGCTGAGAGTCCTATGTGCTTAGCTGGTAAGAAGTCACTGAACAAAGATTTGCACATGCAAGAACTGCTTTATGCCATTGACAGATTATTTAACCCAATACTTTTGAAAGATAAGGATAGGAAAATTAAAATAAAAACAGATGAAGTCCTTCCTCACAGAATATTATATAGGTGGAATCTAAACTGCTAATGAGCTTGTCTTAATAAATCCACAAACAAACAAGCAAAACAAAACAAACACAAAACCAAAGCAAAACAACAACAAAAAAGTGCACTGCAGGTGTTTAATAGTTGGTGAGAAAACAGTTTCATATTTATCAAATTTATTTTCAGGAAATGATTGCCACATACAGTATTATTTAGATGCATGCTTTCTTACTAAATCAAGGTTTCTATTTTTGAGTTTTCCTTAGCACTATAAAATCATAAAATACATCTGAATAAATCCCCATAGTTTGTTGTCCTTATTTTAATGCCTCCAGGTAATACATTAACATATCATCCATTCCTTGGTGCAGTAATTCAGATTTCAATAACATGGCTATTTCCAGATCCTGTGTCAGTTTACAAGGAACTCAAGATTTATGTGTCTGCCAGGACAATTTTTTGAATATAAAATATAAAAGGAGCTGTGGCAAGATGGGTTCCTCTGCATTCAGTCTCTTCCCATGCTTGAGACATAGCGTCTGTTCTCTGCCTGCAGATTCAGACAGAGAAGCGGATGATGAGTCAAGCCAAATACCCTTTGGAAAATAATATAATAAAGGAAAGAAAAGTGCAAGAGTAAAACATAGCTATTGATGCTTTACACTTTTTCCTTCTGATGATGGGTGTGGTTAGAAAATACATTTGACTCCAGTGATAAGTTTCAGTCACAGGAGTCAACAAGTGACAGGGACAGTGAATAGAGAAAATAGACTGAAAATCCTTGAAAATGTGAAGAAAATTAAGAGGCAAACTTCCAAAGAAGCTGAAGATCTTATATTTAACATATCATATTACAAAAATGGAGAAAATTAGATAAAATCAGCTGATTTCTTTTCAAGTGCATGTCCTGCTTGGGAATGTTATACTCATCTGCCTGGTTCTGTCACTTCATCTTAATACTAACCCTGTTTAGTGATAGAGTCATGCCTTTGTGTCTCACTTCTGTGTTGGGTACTTCCTCCGGTATAACATTTATCAAACAGTTACAGATTCAGAATTCAAAGTAAGTTTCCATCTGTACCTGACTGAGCATTATATGTAAAAAGAGGGCCTAGATAAATGAACTAACCTACCCAAGATTACACCCAGCTGCATTTAGGAATTTGAAGCATTTCAGTCCCTATTCATCTTGCAAGATCTTCACTATAAATTCACCAGTCACCAAGAGGAGGAAGGAAATGGGTCATGTTTTTTTTGACACATGTTTTCTCAAATGTGTTATTTCTGAACAATAATGTTCAATAACAATTGAAAATAGTATATTTTAATGTTATGTGGTGGGTTGATCTTGGCTGGCTGCCAGACTGTCACCCAGCTGCTTTCTCACTCTCCCTCCTCAGCAGGACAGGGGGAGAAAATAATATGAAGAAGGTCATGGGTTGAGATAAAGACAGGGAAATCACTTACCAATTACCATCATGGGGAAAATAGACTAGAATTTGTGAGAATTAATTTAATTTATTGCTAATTAAAGTAGTAGTTGGGTGGTGAGAAACAAGTATAAAAATTATTAACACTTTGTATTCCTACTCCCTTTTACTAGGTTCCACTTCAATCCAACGCCTCTATCTCCTACTCAACCTGAGCAGTGCAGGGGACTGGGAAATGGGAGGTTTTAGTCAGCTTGTAAGAGAGCCTCTCTCCTGCTCCTTCCTTCTTATACATTCCTGTTGCTCCAGTGTGGGCTGTCCCTGGGCTGCAGCTTCCTACAGGACATACCAACCTGCTCTTGTGTGAAGTGTTCCACAGGCTTGCAGAAATACCTCCTCATGCAGGCCAACCCTGTGGCCTGCCTCTCTGCTACCAAAACATTGCCTCATAAACCAAATACATGTAAGGTAATATTCTATTTTAAAGTAGTCAGTGTGAGGCAGAATTAGATGATCACTTAACAGTTGAAGTGATCCATGATTCAAACTAGCATTTCCATGTCATATAAACCTGAACAATTGTGAAGACCTTGTATCCGTTTTTACTTAGAACCTCAGTTTTTCAATACCAGTATTTTTTCTGGAATTAATCAACCTTGCATATGTTTAGTATTTCTGTAGCTGTATTTATAGAACTTAATGATAGTGGAGGTAATTAGTTCTGAAATATAATTCTGAAGCAATTCTTCTGTGCTGCCACTGCTAATTTTAAAGGATGAGCTCGAGAGCTAGTGAATAGGCATTAAAAGTAGTTTTCTTAAATACACTTTTTTTTTAGACCAAAAGAACTAAAACAGTACTTCTATCTTCCTGTGGTGCACTGATTTATCATCACTGTTTCTCAGCGATCATCGTGGGGAACTTCAGAACTTCAAGAGCAGAGTCTGAATTGTCACTGAAATGTGGCATGATAGTGACATTAGATATTCTCTTTAGATGAGGTATTTGGGGGGTTCATTTTTCAGTAACTTCTTACAAATTTCTTTCTGAACTATATAACCACTAGGATTTGGATTTTTATTTTTTAAAAACTATTATAAATAAACAATCATCTTTATTGTAATTTTGTGTATATACCACTGCCTATTATTGAAAATAATCTTGAGTTATACATTATGCATAAAAGTTTTAGACTTACTTTAGTAAGTGCTAATTTAATACAGTGTACAACAACACTGGTCTGTGTAGCATCTTTTTGATGTGGAGGCTGAGTTTGTCCTCTTACATAAAGGAATGAGTAATCCTGTCCAGAAGATACACGATTATTTAAAAAATTGAGTCCTTGCCCTTGGAATAAATATGCCTTTAAAAAAAAAAAAATGTATTATTTGCAAAACAAACTTGCTATGTGAAATTCTTGATAAAACCCTCTGTCTGCAGTAACCTTTGTATCATTTGTATATGATCTCATAAGACTCCTGTGTTGTTCACGATTGTGTTACTCTACCTCTCATGATCATGTGGAATGTTTTACTTCTTACATGCAAACAACTGTGAGGAAAACACAGTATTTTAAAATAATTAGAATATCATAATTGAAATGTAGGTACACTACAACGTAAATAACAGTTTTTCTGAAAACTAACAATGTAAACCAGGTTTGCCATATTCTGCTCTTACAGAATCATGGAAGAAAAAAAACAACATAAGTAAATCTCTGACCTTAACTGAAGCTGATGGCAGACTCTGATTTAAGTGGAGCCAGATTTTCATATGTTATTATTCTATAACAAACTGTCATCATTGTTAAAGTATAATGCAGTTTATATACATGTATGTGTACTTGTCATTTTCTCAAGTGAATCTGACTTAAACAAGTACCAGTTCATCCCTGTGGGGTTTGGCCATTGACCTCAATGGATCAGTTATACTTCTGACATGAAAATTCTTGTTGAAATTGCAAAACAGCTTAGGCTAGCAACTTGATGATAAGTATTATTCCCAGATACTAGTATTCTCAAGTTGAAAATATTGTTGTGAAAAGCCTATCATGTGCTTTCATATTTAGCTCTCAAAACAACTTGGGTTAATTCTTACATTAGAAATACCTCTTTCTAGTTGCAGAACTACCAAGTAAAAATAAAATTGCTGGACTTATACAATGTGTGCAATTGGTAGGCCATTGTTGTATAGTTTCAGTTTCATTTAGTATAATCATTTAAACCATCTTTGTCATATTGTGTCATTTATCCTGAAGGGTTTACAATCTGAAATTTGTACTATTTACACTGAGAATTTGTGTTAGCTATAATGTAGAAATCTTTGGGTAAACTGTTAATTGCAACATAACAATTCTATGTTTTTTGAAGATAAGTAGTACTAATATATCCAGACAGAACTTCAGGGTAGCTGATAATTACAGGCATGTTTGCCAAAGTTGTAAAATGATAGTGAGAAGGCTTAGCCCTTTTCTTATAAGAATGGGATTGGCATTCTTACTAGACCTGTTGTCAGTATCAGAAATGTGCATCAACGCAGTACATACGAATATTCTCATCTGTGTGTACACTTAGCTATTGAGATTTGAAACAAGTGGTAGAATTCCATCAGTATAATTATTTCACCATATAAAATTAGGCTTTTTTTTTTTTTTTTCCATCTAAGTGATGACATTTACCACTTTGTTTCAGAAGGCTGACATAATTACAGGACAAGAAAGTAGTATTTCAGGAAATAACATTTGGTAAATGTAATGAAACTGTTCTCAGGATTAGCCCACTGAAAATTTTTATAGAAAAAAAAATGCTGCAAGTGTGGCAAATGTGTGGATTCTTAAAAAAATAGTAATAATAAAAAAGTAAAAAAACACGACCTTGCCAGATGTATTTTCCAATTCTGCCATGCTTTACCTCTGTTTGACTAAGCATTTGGCATACTTTACAAAGATGCAATACTCAGTACAGTTCCACTTCTGATAATTGCTACCAACCTCCTTAACCAATGTGAAGAGTGCCTTCTTTTCCCCCTCCCTTTGTTTTTGTGACAAGACTAACCTCAGCTGTGCAGGGGTTGGTGGCATTTGCATGTGGTAATGCACTAATATGGATGTTTTTCTTTGTGTGTGCATCCTTGCAGTGTTGTATACCAGGATGGATTTTATGGTGCAGACATTTATGTAAGTATTCATTGATGTGCATGCTGTCCTTGTACATTACCAGAGTCATTCTTTTTACAAGTTTGCTGCCTAGTTTGACTCTGTTTTGTCTATTTACCATCCCTTGCCTGTCAGAAAGAATTGAGAAGAGTATCTCTCACATTGGAAGACCATTCTGTTCATTACATCTATCATTGTTCAGTGGAGCTGAATTAACTCTTTAATCAAATGTTGAATAAATGCAAAAAGATGTGAAAAATGTGTGTGTATGTGTGCGTGGAAGAGTGTCTCCTTTCAAAATTAAATACTAAGAAAACTTAAAAACAAAGTAGAAACACTTTCCTGCCAACCTCAAAAGCACTATTAAAAAATAAAAAGGCAAATTGAATATTAATACCCAAGGTATGAAAATGCAATATGGAGAGAGATAGACCAAGTAAGACTTCTCAAATCCAGGCAATATTTGGTAGATGTGTGTACCATGATATTGCTTAAAAACCCACATATTTAAATTTAAACAAAATAGAGATTGCTTATGATGTAAGAAGTATTTATATTTGTTAGTAAGTATCGATAGCCCTGGATAGTAATTACCTATACACATTAAAATGTATATAACTCATTGGTCACTAATTTCATTTTAAATAATATATTTTTTAAATTTTCTTACCAATATTGAAATTATTACCTTGAATGTATGTGAAGAGGCTACCTACATCTGAGTGTACAAGAAGTTTCAGATGGTTGAGACTGAATTTCAGTCTTCTAAAATAATTCTTGCACCCTGTTTTTACAGTTAAAAAAAAAAAAAAAAGTGGATATAAAATACATTACCAATAGAACTGTAATCTTTCACATCTGTTATTATTTTGATAAAGCAATGTGGTTACAAAGTTACAATTATCTTTACTTCAGCAGACTACTTGCTATATCCTAATTGTGCTTATGTTTTACCATCTCTGTTGAGTTACAAAGAGATGAATGAGGTGACATTGGTATGAACATTAAAAAAATACTAGATCATTGTAGGAAACATTCCTTGTATTTATTACCAGTAATCTCTTAAAGCTATTTCCAAAGGAACAGATCTTTTTCTATTAGGTTTTATTTGAAAGAAAAACATTTTGAAATTATGCAAGCAGTAGCCATTCTTTTTCTGATGGGGTAAAAGGCTGATACTCATTTGAAGATTCATTTGTGTAGTTTAAGAATACATTGAAAATGAATTAGCACAGTTTAAAATTCTTTATGTACTTAGTGATTTTATCAGTAACATATTGTTACTGACACATGAGAATCGCACATTTGCCAAAGGCTTACTCAAGTGTAGTATGCTGGTTTAGTCTCACCTAAACACTTTACTGTTGAATTTTTTGAGGTATATTTCAGATATGTTGTACAGTGTTGAATTTCTTCATGTAATTTCCAGTTTTCATATTTGTGTATGTCAAAAGAATGTGTCATCCATTTTGCTTAGTTTACCAATCTGAAAGGTGATAAGACATCTTCCTCAAGATTGGTTAATGGGATTGAATATGTAAGAATTATATGTTCGTGTAACAGTTCACAGTATGTTTTGGAGCCGACTGCTGCTTTTGGTGCTTGACAATTATTTTATTTTAAGGTGACCTTTTTCCTCTCATATTCTTGAATATTTTGGTTCAGAAACAGAACCAAACAGAAACAGAAGGTTGTTTCACTAAGGAAGATGCTGAAGAAATTAGAAATTTCTAGTTTAGCTTCAGTTTTGTTGTCTGGAATACTTGTGCATTAGAAAATGTAGTAACTGTACTGGTGCATTGTTTTTCACTCAGTTGCAGCCTTGTATTTCTGATTACATTTCTGAATTCTCTCATGTAACAGAATGTTTACTTGTACAGAACTTAATCTAATTTCAAAAATACTGTGAAAATTTGGTTATGTTTTATGATGTTCAAAGCTTCTTAGTTTATAATACATTTTTCTTCACATTTTTATTTCTTGCAACCAAAACATTTTGATGAAAAGAGAGAGAAAGAACTGGCAGAAGTCAAAAGAAAATGTATTATAAACAGTATTTCTTAGTATAACAGTTTCCAGCAGAGCAAGTTATTTATTAAATCCCAGTTGGATATAATAAAGTTCTACTTAACTTTTCACTTTAATTACAGAGCTGAAGTTTTGTGAAAGAACAAATATTTTGTTGAAAAATGAGAAAGAAATAAAATTTGAAGTATACAGGTTCTAATCGCATAGAAGAGAATAGGAATACAAAAATACAGTCTAAAATGGAAAATCCAGACCCGTGACTATATGTAATACAATATATTCTGTATTTCACACAGTTATATGTGAAATGTAATAATGCCTCTGAAATAACTGAGCTACTGAATTCATTTTTAAACGTGCCTTTATGTAGGAAAAATAAAGGAGATGATTAGGAAGAAAGGAAGACCTTTTAAAATTAAGTATTGATTCACAAAGAGAAAAAGTCATTAAAAGAGAATTAAGGTTGCCTCCCAGCAAATATTGAAGTTCCTTTGATGAAGATTGACACCTGTGAAAATAAGAAAATACAGTTCACAAAATGAAACCAAAATAGTAACAGATGAAAAAATATGCAGTTAAAATAATAGCTATGCACTATTGCTCTGTTTTATTTCAAATCTGTGTTGTTTTTTTTGTTGTTGCTTTTTTATTATTATTATTATTTTTTTTGTCATGAAGAATGTTTTCAGATGTCAGTCCTCAATCCACAACTTCAAACTCTCTCATCACCAGCTTCAGAAGTGGTGATGCAGTACTGACCATGTACATTAGTCAGTTTTATTGCTCACTGTAAGATTTTCTAACCCGTTCTCCGGATTCTGGACCTGTAGTACTGCAGCTGGTGTGGGTCCAAGGCAATTCATAAGTACACAGGTAGATAAGGTAGAGTTGTGGTTTTTTTGTGTGTGTTTTTTTTTTTTTTTTTTCCAAGTTACTGATCCAGAATAAGGCATACTTTATGAGCAGAGGAATGGAAAGATATTATCAACACTTACTGCCATCTCCGTCACTCAGAGGTTGGATGGTATTGAGGTTGTAGGTATCTACGTTCCTAGCAGAAAGGAGACATTTTGATTAAAACTGTATCAATTATCTAAGCAATATTCCCATGATACTGGATGGGAGTCTACTGATGCCCAAAAGGCACTGTTCTAATGTGAAAAGCAGGGATATGTAGTTAACATCAGTCTTAATTTTAAGTACTTCTAAGTCTTTAATTTTAAGTGTTTTGTAAAGGTGCAGTGGGTAGTTCCTCCTAATGCTCCATACACTAGAATGCTCCATAGTACCTTTTAAAAAGTTGTGAGATCTAATGATGACATGTCTTTTCATCTCTCTCTGGTCTATTTGTGATATAAACACTATATTCAAAACTATGCTAGATTACTCTTGATGATTGTAGTGGATTAGAATTAATACAGGTGCTGCCAATTTGGATATATTACCAAGAACTTTTCTGAGGCAACAGATAGGTCTGGGAGTACACTGTAAGCCCAGAACTAGCACAAAACTTTCAAGTAGGCCTGTCTCAAAAGTTGAGCTATCAAAAATAAGACATTTTATTTTAGTTCTCCCAATGTTTTACTCTATGAGCAGAACAAATACTGTGTAAACCACAATATCAGTATGATTGGAGAATGAGGAAATGATCACTTCTGCTCTTTATTTCTGAAAGGCTCCATATAATTTGTCTTATTTTTTTTGCTTTTAACTAATAAAGCAGATATAATTCTCAATACTATAACACATTTTGAACCTTGATTTATTTATGTTCACAAACTTGTAGTGAAAGGAATTATAGGAAATGAAAATTGAGGAAAAAGTATTCTCATAGTCAATTTTCTATATTAATGTTGTTAGTAATTGGAAAAACTAATGAAAAAATAGGCATCATTTAGTCATCCAATAAACACTGTCAGATGCACAAAAAAAGTGCATCCTTCTTTCCATCCGTCCTTCCTTTACTCAGTTTAATCATTGCATTTCTCTATAGAGCATTATTGTAGGAGCCTGTGTATGGCAATAATTTACCACAAGTATGACATGCCAACTGATGGAAAAAAAAATCACTAGGCTGAATGAAGACTGTTGTAAAATCATACTATTCCACAAATTATTCAGTGAGAATATGGATTCTGTGTGCATAAATGTTAATAGGCTATGAGGATTGAACCACAAAATCACACATATTCCTCATGTCCCATGTAATACAACGGTAATTGCTGTAATTGTCCCATTCAGTATTTTATGACAGTGAGATATATCTGTATATTTGGACTGCAATTCTATTAATTTCCCCTATACTCAAAATTTTAGACAACTTAAGCTGCAGTAGTACTGTGCGATCATTCCTTTGGAAGTAGAAGAGGCAGATAAGGCAGTAGACATTTTTAATTTTTTTAGCTGAATTTATTATTTTGTTAGAATTTTTAAAAAGTCAAGCATAACAGGTACTTTCTGAAAAAAAAGAGAATAAAAATAAAGAGAAAATAAAACCACAAAGCATTTCTAAAACCTAGCAACTGCAAATTGGTTTTTCTTACGTATATATTGGTATTTATTGGTATTTCATTAATTATGATTTTTTTATATACTTTATTTTTCAATACAGTATAATGCATGCAGACAAATATTTACATATTTCTCTAGACATGCATATGTAACATGTATTACTACTACCTATATGTAGTTTGTGTAGGGAATATTACTAGTTTAATGAATGTTACTTACATCTATAGTAATGGCTGAGATCAAAATTAAGACGAATTGTAAAGTAGAATGTGTCACGCAAGTTTAGAGCTCAGTGGTTTGAATCAGTTTTCCTTCCTGATTCCCAAGATAAAGCATATCTTCAAGTGTTTTGTCGTAATGATTAGTCACCTGAAGTAACTGATGAAAAATAATAAGATACCCACCAAATTTTTAGAACACAAAACCTGTAAAAATAATTTGCCTAAGAATGTTTTTACATATCGTTATACCTCAGAAGGACAGGTTGAGGTTGGAAGAGACCTCTGGAAGACATGTTGTCCAACTTATTCCAGTGCTCAGTCACCTGGAGTGAAAAACAGGTTCCTGATGTTCAGAGGGAACCTCCTGTTTTTCAGTTTGTGCCCACTGCCTCTGGCCCTGGCACTGGGCACCACTGAAAAGAGCCTGCCTCTGTCCTCCTTGAAGGTTCTCTTAAGGTATTTCCAAACATTGATAAAATCTCTCTGAGCCTTCTCTTCTTCAGGCTGAATGGTCGTAGCTCTCAACCTCTCCTCACAGGAGAGGTGCTTCCACCCCTTAAACGTCCTTGTGACCTTGCACTGGACTCTGTCCCATATGTCCAGGTCTCTCTTGTGCTGGGGAGTCCAGAAATGGACACGGGACTCCAGGTGTGGCCTCATCTGGGCTGAAGGATCACCTCCCTCAATCTATTGGCAACACACCTCCTAATGCAGCCCGGGATACAATTAGTTGTCTTTGCAGCAAGGACACATTGCTAGCTCATGGTTATCTTCATGTCCACCATGGTCTCCAGGTCCTTTTCTGACAAGCTGTTTTTCATCTCAGTTGCCCCCAGCAGATGCTGGTCCCTAGGGTTGTTCCTCTCCAGGTGCAGGACTTTGCACTTCCCCTTTGTGAACTTCACGAGGTTCCTGGCACTCCATTTCTCTGTCCTGTCCAGGTCCCTCTGGGGGCAGCACAGCCCTCTGGCACATCAGCCTTTCCTCCCAGTATTTGTGTCATCAGCAAATTTGCTGAGGGAATGCTTGGCCTCATTATCCAGATTGCTAATGAGCAATATAATAGCTTATGTCAAAAATATGAAATCATGACATGGGCTCATAGAGAATTATGATCTCCCTGATATCCATAGCCATCCTGCAATTTATATCTTCAAAGAATTCAGGCAAATTTAATAACTTAGATATCTCCATATTTTTATTTATTTAGACTCAATTTTTCCATGACTTTCACAAATTTAATTGTGATTGCTGAATCCACAGCAGCTTAATGAAGTTCAGAGTTGATCTTAATTGTTCAGCAGGATTTCCTTGATGAAAGCAAATCAAAATACAAGCACTCCCCCCCCCAAAAAAAAAAAATAAAAAAAAAAAAAAAGAGAAAAAAAGCATCACATATTTCGGGAAAGCAGGTTTTGAGCAGGAAAAGGTCAGTCTTCACAGGCTCACATATTTTACATTGTACTTAAAGGAAAGAAAAACAATTCTAACAGAGCCTGCTTATCTGTAGATTTAAGACCAGCCTGTATGTTCGTAAACGAACAACCTGTCTTGTTTTAGTCTGATGCATTGATATTTCTGGTGGTAACCTATTTTCAATCCTTTACTGTCATGAGAATCAGTATGTGCATAGTTAGATTGAAAAGTTGTGGCCTCTTGCATTTGAATAAATGTTTTTAGAAATGGACTACTGGAACAATCGTACATGTGGCTAACAAAATCATGTCACACTGCAGAATGACTTTTAATCTGACATACATTTTCAGGGCTGGACGTTGAAAACAAGCTTGTCACGTTTAATATCATCTACATAATTTTACTATTTGTACTTCCTCATACCAGCACTCAAAACAAAACCAGCCAAATAAACAAACAAAACACACAGCCAAACCCCCACCACTGAAAACAGCACTATTTTTGGTACTGTGAAGAACAGGATGGGAGAAGAGAGAGCTGTGTAATCTGTCACCTTTTTCCTTGGAGCACAACTCAGGCCTCAGTCTCTGTTCACTAGTTCAGTTTGCACTTGGTGACATTAACTGACATCTGATTGCCTGTATGCACGTACCTGCAAGCAATATGTGCCTATTATATATCTTTTGACAGTAATAGCCCGCTATTGGCTTATAAAAATCGAATGGTCTGAAATGAGAAAGTATTTCTTCTCAGTGCTGCTGCACATACACAGAAAAGCAGTTTGCTGCAAAAGAGACAGCATAAAAAGTATTATAGAAGCACCTGCCTTATTCTAGTGGTTGTGTGATACAATTGCTTCTGGCAGGGAACTGATCAGTAGAAGTAAACATACTTTTCCTTATGTGAGCACTTGAAAAAGTCAGAAAGAATGTTTCTCAAGTGAGGTGACAATTCATAGACTGAAGTTTCTAAAGAGCTGTCAGTATATGTAGAACTTGCTTATTCTTAGGGTTATGTGGCGTTATCAGCTGAATGATTGGTTTCCATAACCATTCTGCTTCAAATATTCAAACCAAAAAAAGTTTCCTATCTTTTAGGGATGAAGGCATTCATTCCACCAAGCAAGGCAGTAGAAGGAGAACTAGCTTGTAAAAGCAGTTGAAATCGTCTCCTTGCTTTTCTGAAAAGCTTTTTTGTTTTAATTATTATTATTATTATTTGTAAAATCAAAATAGGGAACTCACAAAAGTACCTAGTAAAAATCTACTCCTGTTACAGTAAGGGTTGATACACTAACCTGCGCTTCATGCTTCAGCATAATTTCTTGTATAAATGCAGTCTCTCCCCCCCCCAAAAAAAGGGGGGGGGGGGGGGGGGGGGGAGGAGAAGGAATCAATTCATTAAAATGATGTCTTTAGGAAAAAAACAAAATTTAATCAAAACTGAGTGACCAAATGCTTTCTTTCTCAACTCTTTGTTAAGGTGGGGGGAAGAAGAGGAGTGGATGCAGAGACCCATGTCCCAGGGGATTATAGGGTGGTGAATTCTAATTGGAACGTAAATCGTGTTTGTGTTATCTGTGGAGACTGGCCTCTGTTTGTTAATTGGCATGCTGAGATCATTTTGAAATGGTTGATATAACACCGTGGTCCATTGAACAGGAAGCTCTGCTGTTTTCACAGTTTGATAATCAATGCATCGCTGCACACAATTCCTTTCAAATGTGTGTTTGTTTGTCCTGTTTGCTTAATTGAACAGCTGCAATTACTGTTACATACAACTGAATGTTAATTCAGGAAAGAAGAGAATTTTCCTTCTTCATTATAATTTTATGCATAAATTGAAAGCCTATATAACATTAAGTGTTAATTGAGTGCACTAATTCATAGGTTTAATCAACCAAGTATGATCAATCATATTTTGTACCAAAAAAAAAGAAAAAGAAAGAAAAAAGAATTATTAGCAGAGTTTTTCTTTTAAGTTCAACATTGCTTGATTAATGTGCATATACCTCATTCATAAGAACAATCACTATTTGAAAACGTGGATGAATACAGTATTGTATTTAGAAAACTTATGTTGATGAATACAGTTCATTGCTTTCTCCACATCTCTGGAACAAATCTTAACAAGTTCATGGTGATAGATTTTGCTTAACAATTCACTTAAATATGTCACATGTATTTAACCCCTTAACTGAACTTACAGTATGGCAATAATATTCCGATCAGTTGCTGCTAAATTTTACAAAATATTATTTAAACTGCTATAGCAAACCAGTTAGAATGTGAGTTTATGTTTTAGGGTGGTTATGCTGCCTACCGGTATGCCCAGCCTGCCACTGCCACTGCAGCTGCCTACAGTGACAGGTAAGATCTCATTTATCACTAATAAATATTTGACCAGTGGAAGCTGAAGATGATTCTATAAATTTGCCTTGTTGAAGTCTCATAACTGTCTTGTTGCTCTGCAGATAGCTGTGATATCTAAAGCAGGCTATTTTATTATAATCCATGAATAGCCATAAATTAAGAGATTTTAGGCCTTAATTGAGAATTGGGCATGAGACGTGCACATTCCCAGGCTGTAGATCATCCAGTTAAGGTCTGTGGCCCTTGTACGACACAGATAAATATATGTATGGCTTCATGATGGTCTGCTGCTAAAGATCATTATTTAACTTAGGAGTATTATTTCAGTTGATTTAGAAGCTGAACCTACTGAGTGCCCTAAATTCTCATTGACATTGTTTTAGTCATTGGAAATTGAGAATAAACTGCATCTAAGCTTGAATTATCCAAGGCAAAATGATATATATTTTTTCTATTTACTTTCTACACAGGCATTAGACTTTCTGAAATACTAAAAAAAAAAAAAAAAAGGTTCTACTTCTGTACTGTATTTGTAACCTCAAAATGAAAACGATATTGGTGAAAGTAATACCAGAAATAAAAGATCATTAAGATATGCATAAGAAAAACATGCAAAGACTTAACATCTATAAAAGTTATGTCATATACATTAACTCATCTTCTTGCAAGATGAAAATCAAGACCCCTTTCAAGTCAATGTCTAAATTGCTAAATTCTAATAGGAATATGATTTTGTCAAATTGCTTAAAATTTGACAAAAACTGGACAAAAATTTGCAGTGTGTGGACATGATTTTGTAATGAAAAGAAAGAATATCCTACCTGTTTTTCAGAAATTATACCTTTAGCAAAATCTACCACTAATACTTTTCAAGTATTTGAAGAACGTACAACTGTAAAAGGAGGATGCATATTGTGAAAGACAGATACATGCATGTGTTTTGCTTCACGATTACAGTAAGAAGTAAGGTCACATTTCTCAAATCGCTATTCCCTTGAAAACAAGAATTTCCCTTGAAAACAAGAATATAATTTCTTAATTCTTGATTTGAAACATTACTTTAGATGCTAAATTAGACATTGCTTTTAAAAGTTTATTTTTCTTAAAGAAATCAACAGATTAAGAAATTTAAGTGAACTATTTCTTAGATTGAAGTGCTGTTCATGGATTCCGTAATTTTAGAATAAAGTATCATGGTATGAATGTTACAATGCTATGCATGCATATTTGCCTTTCAAAAGCTTACTCTGGGTAATGAAGATGTATTTTTTAAAGTTATGTGAATAAAATAATTTGCATGTGTGGCTGAGGCATGCTGTGTCAGACAGGTAAGCAAGTTTCTTTCTATTAATCTTGTATCAGTAATATCAACTAGATGCTGCTATTTATACTATGTCCGTGATGTACTATTTCTACTTAGGGTAACCTACAAGGTGAAGTGCTACTCAGTAGACTCATTTAATTTCCACAAAGGTGTGTTAGCATGTTGCAGCTCTAGGATTATTCTCTGATTTTATAGTGCAAAAGAATTCCTGATTTTAAAAGCTTATTAAGCTGAAAGGACAAAATTAAAAATAACCTCTCGTGGTTATTCATTTTTTTGCCAGATATCATTAAAATGTCCCTGGGTCATTTTATAGGGTGTTTACTCCTATGAATAAATGAATTTCTGAAAATCTATACATTATATAGAGAAAGTGAACAATATCAATATGACTTTTAATTATGAATTAGTGTACCTTCTCATAAACCAAATGCTGTAAGGTAAAACGTCAGTTGGTCACATATTGTATGGATAGAAAGTCCTCAAACATCATGAAGAATTATGCTGACAAAAAATAAAGGACTTGTTTAAGAAGAAGATAGTTATTTTAAATGTTGTTAAGGAAGCTTGAGATGGTGTCAGCAGCAATGCAGTTATTACAACCCTTAATTATTTTTTTTCCAAAAAGTTTAATTTTCAGATACACGTATATTAGAATTGTCATAACCTGTCTGTTGCATAATTTTAAATATCTTAAAAGAATTATAGATCTTCTGGATATTTTTTTAATTTAACTTTTTAAATGTGATTACCCATCATCTTCGAACTGCTTCCCCAAAATGAATGTGGTTTCTTGTGCTAATTACAAATATCACAAATGAATTTTATGGGAGAATCTTAAAACTAACATAGAGAACAAAAGAAATAGCAATCTGCTCAAGTATTTCTTTGCATATATGAAACTATATGCAAACATGGATACCTCTGATTACTCATAACCTAATTTTACTTACATAATTTTACTAATTTTTCATTCATTTTTTAATGAATTCAATGTAGTAAATTTTATGAGTCATTAATATTGCAAACTCTAAAATTCAGAAAAACAGTTCAGTACAACTGCTTGTACATTTTCGTCTCAGTGTAATAGTCACCTGCTTTTGCCTGACAATATTAAAAACTCCATATCTGATAATATATACTGCTCCTTTTCAATGTTGATTTGATCTATTTATTTTCATTTCAAATTAAACATACTTATTGTCTATGTTTAAACAATGCATAGGAAAACAAAGTGACAGCCAATGAGTGAAGCAGTGACATATCATGAAAATATATTTTAAAAAGCTTTATTCTTTTTAACTAATAATATACATGATGAGTGTTGGTATCCCATATTTGACATGCTTCTTAAATCAGGATATAAAAAGAGGAAATCTTTAAATTGGAGACATATTTTTGTAAATTAAATATAAAGGTTAACAGAAAGGTTTCTATTAATCAAAATCAATACACCAAGTCAATGGTTAATGATCACTGTAACAGAGCTCTATTTTGAAGAAAGGCAATGGTATCCTTGTTTGTCAGAGTTGGAAATATTGCTGGAAATAGGCAAAGAAAAGATATAAAAGGGGCAATTAGTTGGCAATGGAATCCTCATGAAATAAATCAAAGCAGAACTGTAAGTTTGATAAGAAAATCAGGTACTCCTAAAAATAATTTTAAAACTGAAGTAGGCCTCACAGATTTCTCCAGTGATTTCTTAGCACTGGAAAATAAAAGCACACACACACAGAAAAAAATAAACAGAAGATGTAGTTTGTTTTTATGAAGCAATATAATCATCAAATACAACTTCAAAAAACTTACATTGGATTTTTACACTGTGTGATCTCTTACTATGATAAATTGCACTTAAGTATATGGAGATCTTTGATAAAGTAGATCAAAAAAAAGTATTTTATAACTTTCCAACATTTAAAATATTTTTGATACAATGCCCAGTCCTTGTAGCTGATAAAAGGGGACTGCTGGTCTACAAGTATTCTTCACTGTTCTGGAGCTTTAATTCCCAAGCATTTCAAACAGAGCGCTTGGAAAAAATAATTATAATGATGTGAAAAAGACACTAAATCAGATGTCAGCAAAATGTTAGTACAGCTTTTACTAATCTTTCGTGTAAAATTTTAAAAAGAATAAATAAGCAATATAGTTTTAAAATTTGTATCAAAGTCTGAAGTAAGAGAAACTAGCAAAGTCATCAGCTTTTATATTTATGAGGTAGAACAAGCCAAAGCATGGCAGTGGGGTGTATTGTCATTTTGTCATTGCATGTTCACTTGATGTTGCTAGTACGTCTGTAATGCTGTATTGGATTTGACGGATCCATCACATAGCTCAGTGAATGGCTTGCTTGAATTAAGCCTATGGGCAGACTTATTCACATCGATTGGCTATTGGTTTTGTGTTTTATGATTTGAGTATTGCATCTTTCATAAGAGTAAGAAAAATGTTCCTTTCTTGCATATTAACTTTGTCAGCAATATTTATGAAAGTTTATATGGTACTATAATAAAACAAAACAAAACAAAACCCCAATGATAATGAACTTTCCTTGCCAGTAAGGCAGAGTGTTTTCACTTGTACTGCTTGCTAACCCTGTAATACTTAATAATTGTGTGTTTATATATGTATGGTTATGTATTCATATATATACACACATTCCCCATCCATCACCCGTTCACAAACACACACACAGATGTTTGCACATGCAAACACAAACACATACACACACACACATATTTCCAGATGTATTTTGCTCTGAAATCACTTCCATTTTTTAAAAATACAATATCCAATTAAAATATCACTATAAACAATGAGAAGAGATCCCTCATCACTGGGAGCTGACTTTTTTTTTTTTTTAACAGTAAGATATATTCCAAAATATTTTACAAATATTTTGTAGTTTAAAAGGTATATATATATATATTTGCTATCAGTTTGTGTTACACGTTCTGTGGTCATACATTGGATTTTGTGCAAAATTTGAGACAGGTGATTTTATTATATGTAAGTTGTGCATCTTCCAGATCTGAAATTTTACTCCCTTTAAAATCCTGATATTCCAGAAGTTTACATTTTTAATATACTTACATGGAGTATTTATTTTTGTCAAAGTACTGTTGTCTACAAGTGATACAATTCAATATATTTTCCAGTTCATTTTGTGCAAGTTGTGAAGAGTAATACTCAATATTTCTAGTCAGATTATCCTAATATAATAGGATAATAGGTACAGATTTGATTTAACTGGAAACATGCTTATTAAAGGATCAAAAAGTAGAATGAGAATAAAAATACACAAGCTATAAAATGTTAGCTTATATAGATGGAGGTGTGGAGGTGATTTTTTGTGTATTGTAGTATTTAAGATTATCTATTAGAATAAATAATGGAAAAAGCCATATGTTTATTCATTTTATTTTCTCTTCCTGAGGAACTTACTAGTGATATATACTAAAAATTAAGGTTTTGACAGCAAGTAAAATATAATAGCATCTTCAGTCAAAGTTTAATTTACCATTAAGCAATTTTATAGAAAGATTAATATTTTAAACAGTAGTACTTCATTCATTTAATTATCATACCTTTTAAGATTTAGGAGAAATAGCTTTCACGCACAGTTCAAATTTTTAAATTAATTGGTTTGGAAGAGGGAAGAGGAAAAAGA